TAAATATAAATACAAATACGACATACTTGTAACGTACGATTTATTAGTTAATAAATATAAATACGACATACTTGTAACGTACCAGATATTAGTTAATAAATACAAATACGACATACTTGTAACGTACGAGTTATTAGTTAATAAATATAAATACGACATACTTGTAGCGTACGAGTTATTAGTTACTAAATATAAATTCGACATACATGTAACGTAAAGTTATTAGTTAATAAATACAAATACGATATACTTGTAACGTACGAGTTATTAGTTAATAAATACAAATACGACATACTTGCAACGTACGAGTTATTAGTTAATAAATATAAATACGACATACTTGTAACGTACGAGTTATTAGTTAATAAATATAAATACAGCATACTTGCAACGTGCGATTTATTAGTTGATAAATATAAATAAATACGACATACTTGCAACGTACGAGTTATTAGTTAATAAATATAACTACGACATACTTGCAACGTACGAGTTATTAGTACATAAATATAAATACAGCATACTTGCAACGTGCGATTTATTAGTTGATAAATATAAATAAATACGACATACCTGCAACGTACGAGTTATTAGTTAATAAATATAAATACGACATACTTGTTGCGTGCGATTTATTAGGTAATGAATATAAATACGACATACTTGCAACGCACGAGTTATTAGTTAATAAATAGAAATACGACAAAGACTCATGGGTAGACGCTTGTTTGTAAACAATGACATTGTATGGCTGTTTGTCGCACGCGCAGGTGACGACTCCCCCGCTTTACCATTATAGTTGAAGAGAACTTCTAATAATCATTTTTTCAAAGCTAGCCTTTGTGATTTGTAAATACCCCTGTGAACTACTTTTTGTTTTTTTTTATGTTTTTGATATTTCTATTTGGTCGTGTTGTATAATTTTTTTATATATTGTATCGTTGTATTGTTTTATTGTGATGAGTCCCGAAGAGAATAATTAATTTATTTTCATTTATTTCCGGCAATTAAAATATGTTTCAATGGTGAATTATTTACCTCAGTACAATCATATAATTGACATTCCATACGCAGAATTTGTTTTAAATCAGCTCAACCATTTTAATATGCGCGCGACCGGAGCAAGAACTCAATATGTCCCCAAGAAAGAAGGCCATTGTTTTCTAACCTAGTGAATGAAGCTGTGTCCTTCATAGGCTGTTTTTTTAACTCATTCAAGGTCAAATACATTCCCTAGTTCTTCTCACCGCGATTACTAAAAAAGACTAACTGTGTACTCACCCATCCCCATTTGTAGAAAGAGTGATAGTGACAATATCGCTGATGTGCTCGCAGATGAGGCATTGAAGTAGTGTTGCAATGCCACAAACATTGGTCCTATAGACTGATAAACGCTGAAGACAAACATCGTGCAGATATGGGAACCCAGAACGACGAGCCAACCAGAACACCCACCATCTTGACCTGAGTCGATGTCAGCCATTTCATTAATTTACTATTATTGACATCGGCGAATAGTTCATCTGAGACTGCATCAAACAGTGTCACTTGATAGTTTATCGGCTGTCAGTGGCATCAAAACCTTATATACCGTAGTCTAGCGGACAGTCAATATGAGAACTGACGCCATTGGTACAGTATCCAGGGCTTTCAAATGTAAATGAGACAACTCATGAACGGTCATGGTCATGACGGTGCCGTTTGTGCGGTAATTCATGGACTAAACATTCAACACAGTTACAAAATAAACTCGAAATTGACGTAATGCTAAAAATAGAAAATTAATTTATTTAGATCTTGCATTCGCATCAGCAATGATTACAGAAGGCGTAAACATGGCTTCCACTAGACTAAGTTAACTGTGGCACTCACATTCAGTATAGGATGCCAATGTAGTTTTTACAGTTTACAGTGAAAATTGAATTATGTAGTGAATTGTGTCATCTAGTCGTTTTACAGTTTCGAAAACTCTTTTTATTTGGATGTAAATTTTTGTACGTACCGAGAAAAATGACACATATTTACAGTGTACGAACAAATATTTGATTGATTACGTTGTACGTCCAGCCTGTGATTACAGAATTACGGAATATATTTTTTCAATTTACGTTGTACGAACAAAAAAATATTGCAATTACGTTGAACGAAAATAACCCTTGCCCCCCTCAATGTACTTACAATAACAACAACAGTATTTTGCGAATGGTCGTCGGTGTTGCTCCAGTCATATTTATATTTATTAACTAATAACTCGTACGTTGCAAGTATGTCGTATTTGTATTTAGTAACTAATAACTCGTACGTTGCAAATATGTCGTATTTGTATTAAGTAACTAATAACTCGTACGTTACAAGTATGTCGTATTTATATTTAGTAACTAATAACTCGTACGTCACAAGTATGTCGTATTTGTATTTATCAACTAATAACTCGTACGTTACAAGTATGTCGTATTTGTATTTATTAACTAATAACTCGTACGTTACAAGTATGTCGTATTTGTATTTAGTAACTAATAACTCGTACGTTGCAAATATGTCGTATTTGTATTAAGTAACTAATAACTCGTACGTTACATGTATGTCGTATTTGTATTTATTAACTAATAACTCGTACGTTACAAGTATGTCGAATGTATATTTAGTAACTAATAACTCGTACGTTACAAGTATGTCGTATTTGTATTTATTTATTAACTAATAACTCGTACGTTACATGTATGTCAAATTTATATTTAGTAACTAATAACTCGTACGCTACAAGTATGTCGTATTTATATTTAGTAACTAATAACTCGTACGTTGCAAGTATGTCGTATTTGTATTTAGTAACTAATAACTCGTACGTTACAAGTATGTCGTATTTATATTTAGTAACTAATAACTCGTACGTTACAAGTGTGTCGTATTTGTATTTAGTAACTAATAACTCGTACGTTGCAAGTATGTCGTATTTAT